GTATATGTACGAGTGCGCTTGTTATGTGTACAGTGTTGGTGTGTGTCTCTCTCGCTCCTTCTGCCTCACTCTCTCTCTCTCTCTCGGTATTGTCTCTCTCTCGTTCTCTCAGCCTCCTCTCCATGCATCTCTCTTCTTCTCTCTTCATGCACTATTGAACCCTATGCACTCTGACATGTACACTATTTTCATGTGTGTGTTTCTCTCTCTCTCTATATATATACACAAGTACTCAATACCCTTTCAACCTGCCCTCCCCATCAATCCATCAATCTTATAAAATAAAGGTCGCACATACTATCTCTATATATGTGTATATATATACACATTCATATGTCGCTCTCTACTCCGTCTCTCTCCGCTCTCTCTCTCTCTCTCTTTATGTCTTGTCATGTTGTTGTAGTTTCTCTCCCTGTTACGCGTTACCATGCTTATTCTGCATATGAAATCAAATCTCGATCCGCCCTCTGTTCTCTACCCTCTATTTCCCATCCAGTCTGCGTAACTGCGTGCTCTGCTGTGGATGTCTCCAGGCTGTGCAATATATCCTCTCATTGTGACCCTACTCGCAAACGCCTGGCAAAAATCCCAAGAACAGGTAAGAACCCCACCGTACGATGAAACCGTCACCCAAAACCACGCACCTGGGAGACACGCCGCCCACCGGCCGACATCGGCCTGGCGCCCAAGACCGCGAAGCTTGGCACCCGGCCGCCCATCGAAATCGACCCCACCACTTCCGCCGACTCCTCCACCTCCAAAAAGGAGCCCGTCAGTGCAAGCGCACGATATGCTTCATAGTTTCCCTGTCTATATGTGTACGTTTCTATCTGTGTGAATCACTTTCCCACAGTGTTCTATATACATGCATATACATGAATAAGGATAGAAAACACATATATGCATAATACATATATATATATATATATATATATATACATGTGCATCTAGGTGCACATACCATGTTAATGGTTAGAAAATCTCTCAACATTGCTCTCTACAGTCTGATACGTACGATTCACGATTTACTCTCTACCCTAACAACCAGACGGTGGCCGCAACGACTTGGGTACTTGGCAGCAACCAGAAAACTCGAAAGCCCAGAAAATTGATGATGCTGGGAGCTCCAGGCCTGGAACAGAGAATCCGCGAACCTGGCCGCCTACCAAAACCTGAGCTGAAAACAAAGAACCAGGGACCCCCCGCGAACTGGGTCGCCCACCGGAGCCGGCGCCTTATATTCGCCTCCTCTTCCAAGATGCGCTAAGACCAATTCAGTGCAAGCGCTATGTTTGGGGAGCATCCGCTCGGACCCCTTCAAAATGAAAACATTGGTTGGGGAAAATCCGCTAGGACCCCTTCAGTGAGACGCCCCAAGAGGCCTCGAAGAGATTCCCCAAGAGGCCTCCGAGACCATCACGAGAGGGCCCAAGAAGCCCACTGGAGAGTTCCATGGCGGCCCAAGAGACCTCCAGCATCGCCCTCAAGCGCTGTGCCATCGGTACCCCTCACGCCCAGAAATTGGCTTGACTGTGTGCTCCCTGTTCTCATTCACGCGTGCTCACTTCCTCCGTCTCTCTCTCCCTCTCTGTCTTCCTCTCTCTGTCCCTCTCTCTCTGTCACCCTACGCTGTTTACGGTTGCCTCCAGATTGACTGCACACTGCATTGTTTAATAATTACTCTCTACTCTCATTGCACTCTTGGGTAGGTACCCTTTACTACCTACTATCCACTCTGTCAATCTGACCGCGGTTGCAAAGACTCGGGAACCTTGTATTCTCGACTCTCCGCTATATCTGTTCAACTCTGCTCGCAACTCTCTGACCCCGCTATTTACATTACGATCAAAACCCTGAGGCACTTGGCCGCAACAAAACCTAAAAAAACCCAGAACCTGACACTACCCCGATCCCCAGAAGCGGGAACCCCCGAGCTGCGAGCCCTGGAACCAAAAACCCAGTAACCCCGGGGCACCTGGCCGCTGACCGAAGCCTGACACTGCCACCAAGAACGCCAAAACCGAAAACCGGGACCAAGGGAACCCCCAGGAACCGGCCCGCCCACCGCAATCGGCGCCTTACATTCGCCTACTCTTTCAAGATCCGCTGGGACCCCTTCAGTGCAACCACCGAAGGGGGAAATCTGTTGGCACATCGGGGGCATCACTGGGATGTGGTTGCGCCAGCGTGCCCCCAAGATTGCTCCAGATGACTGAAGATGACCTCCAAGATCACGCAATACGGCGCAGGATTGCTGGAGATGCCCTCCAAGATTATTTCGAGAGGCCCCAGGGCCGCCCCAAGACGGTTCCAAATGCCCACGAAGACCCTCAAGGACGCCCCCGAGGGGCCAAAACCCTGCCAACCCATACGTAAAGGGAATGTGTGATGTTAGCACGTTTTCGCTTCCGACTGGCATTTGAGGCCTCAAGACGGATCCAATACAGCCCAAGAAAGCCCCAAGAGGGCTCAAAGAGGGCTCCAAGATGGCCCACAGAGCGCCCAAGATCGCCCTCAGAGGGCACCATGAGACGACAAGTATTGGGGCTCGAGGGGCGGTGCTATTTGAGGACGCCCCCTTCTTCGATCGATGTCCTCAAGATGGCTCAAAGAGGTCCCCCCAAGACCCTTAGATGCCCCAAGAGAGCCCAAGTCTTCCAACATGAGCCCGACAGAGCCCCCAGATGGCCCATGTAAGCTGCCACGAGGCTCCCATATCGAAAGATTCGCGAAGGAATTTACCTAGGTCTGCTCAGGCAGATCCTGAGCGTCGGTTGGCGACCGCCCCCCCTCTTTGTCCCACTGCTTGTTCCCTCACTTTCCTGATACAGGAACCTCGCCTGGGCATCGTTTGTGGATGGGCTGGTGGGGGTACGTTTTTTTGGTCGCGGCCGCAAGCGAAGAGCGCAGGCGGCGAGCAGGGTGTCCGGGCCGACGGGCAAGCCTAATTAGCTACAGGGCGCGATAAGCTACTGAGCGCAGCGCGAGCCGGCCAGGCCAGCTCACAACAGCGGCAGCTGGGGCAGCGGCAGCGGGGGGCTGGCTGGCTGAACTGGAACGCCCTGGGAAGCTCAAGCAACGTGCAGCCCTGCGGCAAAATGCCAGGGAATTACTGGTGGGGGTACTTTTTCGGTCGCGGCCGCAAGCGACGAGGCAGGCGGCGGGCAGGGAGTCCGGGCAAACGGGCAAGCCTAATTAGCTACAACAGGCACAGGCCGGCCGGCCCACTCACAAAGCAGCCGCGAAGCTGAAAGGAGCTGACGGCGGGGGGCATCCTGAGAGCTCGAGCACGTGCACAGGACAAAGTGTCATGGAATTCGGTGCCTGCCATGGCACGACCCACACAGTATGAGACGTGAACCAGGATAACCAAGTCCGTCGTTCTGAGTGGGACTGGTGGGGGTACGCGAAGCGTCGGCAATTAGACACGCGCCGTCTGCCATGATGCTACTGTGCCGGGGAAGCGCGCGTCTATGCCGATAATGCCTGTCCGACCTTGTTCACCACAAGAATCTGCTGCACTGCACGGCTTCACTACAGTGCAGGCCTCCCCATCGGATCCCTCCCCATGCCTCCTCCCTTCGACATCCTCGCTCGCCCCTCGCCCATCCGCCTTCCGCCCTCTCTTGCCCATTAGAAGCCTTCCAGATGGGGTCCGAGCAGATAGAGTCGGAGGATCGCGCCGCATCGCCGATGCATCGCCGATGCATCGCCGATGCATCGCCGATGCATCGCCGATGCATCGCCGACGTCGGCGGTGCATCGGCGATGCCAGCGCGGAGCAAATCAAGCTCCTCATCGAGCCGCATCGGCGATGCATCGGCGATGCGGCGCTATCCTCCGACCCCATCTACTAGGAACCCACTTGGGAGGCCTAGACCCATCCTACCTTCGCCCTCCTTCGCCCTGGCAGACAGATCCAGGGACCACCACAGAACCGACCCGAGAATCTCTATCGAAGCCGTTTCCTTGCACGTAGGCGCGCAGGAGTCGTTTCTCGGCCTCGGCGCTGCTCGCAGAGGCGAGGGCGGGGAGCACTGAGGTTTGGGGCCCCGGAGTCGGTGGTTCACGGATGGGGTCCTGAGGGATGGGGCCCTGAGGACGAGGTGCCTCGAACAGTGCAATTCCACCCTTGGGATCCCTTCCTATCCTGGGGATCCCCCTTCGTCAGGACCACCTCTTTGAACCACCAAACTGCGGGGCCCCAGATGCGGCCGAGATCGGCGGGCTTCTCCCCAACGCCGACCGCAGCACCTCCAGCTTGAGCTGTGGCGAACGACATTCTGGCCCTCGCTGCTATAGGGCGACGAAATCTATACATATCCACTGCTCCCTGGCCAGGCCCATCCTCAACCCCGCAGCGGTGTATACGCCACGCCCTCCTGGCTTGGCCAGGAGGGCGCATACACAGCTCCTGGGTTCAAGATGGGCATGGTCAGGGAACAGTGGATATGTATAGATTTCGTCGCCCGATGCTATGTAACCAAAGGCCTCCCCCAATGGGGTCCGAGCAGATAGGGGTCGGAGGATCGCGCCGCATCGCCTGTGCATCGGCGATGCATCGCCGATGCATCGGCGACGTCGGCGGTGCATCGGCGACGCCAGCTCGGAGGAAATCGGGGTCCAAATCGAGCCGCATCGGCAATGCATCGGCGATGCGGAGCGATCCTCCGACCCCATCCACTTCGACCCCATCTGGGAGGCCTAAACAAGATGTAGCGCTGTACACCCCCAAGAGTTAGGGGGGGACCTTAGTGAGCGGCAGTGGCGATGTCGGCATCGTTGGCGGCAGCAGCGGCTCGCGGCAGCGGCGACGAGAAGCTCAACTACTCGGACCCCATTGGGGAGGCCTGGAGCCGCCGTTCTTGCCTGCCGTTGGCCCCTGTCCCACCCTCCGACGTCTAGAGTATCCGTGCACCGCCGTGCGGCCACGGGCTCGCCGCTCTGCTCTGTGCTCGCAGAGCTCCACGTCACGAGCCCCTGGCCAGTGAGGCACACGATCACGCCGCCCCACGGCGCTCCTCAGTGCTCGAGGATGACCGAGGGACAAACAATGACACAAACATGAACTTTCGGAGGTCCGCGCGGATGTCTTCGATCGGCGCTGGGTCCCCGCGGCGGCGCGTCTGGCGCCGCCCCTGGCGCGCTCCGCGCGCCAATTAAGGAGGAGGGCCCAGCGCAGATCCAAGGGATCCGCGCGGACCTCCGAAAGCTTGAGTCTATCACTGTTTGTTCCTCGAGATGAGGGCGTCATACGGGAAGGAGTAGCTGGCCCCAGCCCTGGTGAGGATGTAATTCATGTGGCTCGGCTGGCCCATGCTCCTGATGGAGCACACCTGGGGCACGGCGGAGCGCCGGCGCAGCTTTCCAGATGCCGAGGGGGAGCGCCAGGGGGGGGACCGGCCAAGGGGCGGACACCTTGAGCTGGAATCGGCGACAGATCGCCGATGGGGCGGATGGGCTGTCGGGCCCCGTATCGGCGATGAATGGGCGATTGGGGGCCGACGCATCCCCCCCTGAGCCTATGCCCACCTAGCGTTGCCCCTGGCTTTCGAGCCAGAGCTCCAGTCTCCGACGGCCGTTCGGGACGATCCGGGCAACCCTGGAAAGCTATCGGCGAGGCGCAGCTGCTGGAAGGCATCCCGAGGATGGCAAACCTCCGAGATGCCAACGAAAACGGCCGAACCCCCCAGCCTCGAAACTGGAACCCGAAACGTCCCCCCCCCTGAGCCTGTCCCACCCTAACGTTGCCCTTGAGCGCTCAATTCCACAACAGCGTGCGTGCTGAGGCTGCGCGGGGAGGTAGCGTGCGCGCGGGAGTCACTGCTCGACGCCGGCGCCGCCTGCCGAAGCGCAAGCGGGGGCCCGTCCGAGGCCCGAAGTCTGGCCGAAGTCGCCGAGCTCCGCCTCGTCTTCATGGACGCCGATTCTAATCAAGATGTTGGCGGCTTAGCGGCAAATGGCGGCAAACACCGGCAGATAGCGGCAATCGACTAGCGCCAAATAGCGGCACGCGCCGCGCGCCAACCGTCCACCAATCACCCTCTTATCCGCCGACAGTGGCCGCTAAACGTACAGAAAGACAGCGTTCGGTGAAATCCAACGTTTCCTGAAGCGACAAGCCTAACGTTAAAGGAAGGAAGAGCTGCATTAATATAAACCTTCTGAGCTCCGCGCAGGCCTCTTGGATCGGCGCTGGACCCCCTCCCTGGCTCGCAAAGTGCGCCTAGGGGCGGCGCTGTAGGCGCCGCAGGGAAGGCCCCAGCGCCGAGCCAAGAAATCCGCGCGGACCTTCGCAAATACTGACGAACGCCGTTCTTTTTCGGACCATTTCGCGCGATTGACCACGATCGACGTCTGAGCAGCCGACTGATGCGGGATAGGCCTGTTCCCGGTCAAGCCCTGTTTGGCACCCCCTGTGCGGCTGGCGGATGGCAAGAACCGATGATCCTGGAAAGCTCCTGTGTCAAGAGAGTGCTGCAAAATCAGGAATTCTGCAGAAGCAGATCTGAGGCAACTGGGGACAAATACCTTTGGGCAAAACCTACCACAGAAACGGAAGGCGCGAGAACGTGTGGAGTGCGGTGGATCGTCGTGTGGAAGCTGAAGTGGTTTGGGATACGACAAACCGAGTGGTGCGATGTATCACTTCGCGGCGTCCTCAGCAGTGAGCAAAATGGGGACAAAGGACAAGGAGGAGGAGGTGGCTGGGTCGAAATGAGGCCCGCCAGGACGCCAGCACCCAACCGACCACGTCGAGCTCCAGCCTGTGGCGAAACAAAGACGCAGGCGAAAGACGAGGGCGACCTTGGGGCTGAATGATGGGGATATCGACATGGAATCGGCGATGCATCGCCGATACGTCGGCGATAGGCCCCCAATAGCGAATCCGAACGTTCCTGTGCGAGGAAAGCTATCGGGCCCCTATCGGCGATGAATGGGCGATTGGGGGCCGACGCGTCCTCCCCTGAGCCTATCCCCCTGAATGTTGCCCCTGAGACCTTGAGGCCAGCGAAAAGGATGCCAGGGAAAGATGCCGAGGGCCCGAACATAACAGGATGAGCTCGGGACCTTCGGCGTCTTGACATTGTTTGAACGACGCTGGCCCCGCGCGGAGATCTCGACCGCATCCCCGCGGGGCGCGCCGTTCCCCACAGATCACTTTCTCGTTGGCACTCAGGCCCCAAATCGCCCCCCATGGACGCTGAGATGGCGAAAGAACGCCCGCGGCATTTGTGGGCGGGAAGGGGCACGACGCTCGTCACCACCACCACCACTGCCACATCATCATCAGGATCCTCAGCATCATTCTCAGCAGCATCAACATCAGCACCACCGCCACCATCACAACCATCATCATCATCAGCAGCATCATCATGATCAGCATCGTCATCATCATCATCAGCATCATCAGCACATCATCATGATCAGCATCGTCATCATCATCATCATCAGCATCATCATCATCAGCAGCCGCATTGTCACCATGGTCAGCATCATCACCACCATCCTCACTACCTTCATCACCGCCATCATCACCACCGACACCATCAAGATCACCATCATCACCGCCATCACTACCACCACCATCACCATCACCATCACCATCACCATCATCATCATCATCATCATCATCATCATCATCATCATCATCATCATCCTCATCCTCATCCTCATCCTCATCCTCATCCTCATCACCAGCAGTATCCTCAGCATCGTCGTCAGCATCATCCCCATCACCACTACCATCGCCGCCATCATCATCATCATCATCATCATCATCATCATCGTCGTCGTCGTCATCATCATCACCATCATAATCAGCATCAGCATCAGCATCAGCATCAGCACCAGCATCAGCATCAGCATCATTATCACTCATCATCATCATCATCATCATCATCATCATCATCATCATCATCATCATCATTATCGACACCATCATCACTTGCATCGTGGCCATCATAATCATCACCACCATCACCATCATCATCACCATCATCACCATCACCAGCACCAGCGCTATTACCATCACCAGCAAAACCATCATCATCTCAACCACCACTCGAATCGTCTTCATCCTCATTCACATCATCCCCTTTCATCCTTTTCAGCATCGACATCATCAATATAGTCATCATCATTACCAGCACCAAATCGTCATCATCGTCGCCGTCGTCGTCATCATCACCGTCACCATCCACATCATCATCGTCATCATTACCATCACCATCACCATCATCATCATCATCATCATCATCATCATCACCATCATCATCATCATCACCATCACCATCACCGTCAGAACTTACCATTAGCATCATCATCAGCATCAGCATCATCACCATCAACTTCATCACCATCATCGTCATCATCATGATCATCATCATCGTCATCATCATCGCCATCCATTCATCCCTTCTCGACCTCTCTCCTCCTCCTCCCCCTTCTCCTCCTCCTCCTCCTCCTCCTCCTCCTCCTCCTCCTGCTGCCCCTTTTAAATTTCACGTTTCTACGGAGTCTCCAAAAACAGGCACCACCCCGACTGGTCCTCCAAGACATCCCACGTCATGATCTTTTCAAAACGTGGCATCCCAGGTCTAGATCCCTTCCCTAGGACCGCCTTCTCATTCCGAATCGTTTTCTGACTGTCCTGGGGCCTGGTGAGGACCCGCAGAGGCGCTAAACTGCCAAAAACCTGGCGTCGCGATTCTAACGACGCGAGGATGCTTCTTCGCACTGCGGCGGTGTCCTCGCGGTCGTCGTCTTCGTCGCCGCCGCCGTCGTCGTCGTCGTCGTCTGGCCCTGCTCGTCGGCGCCGCGGCCCGCGGCGCCTGGCCGGCGAACGCCTGCATGCTCGGGTTCCAGTTGACCTTTTCGAGGGCCCCCGGCGGCGGCCGCTCGCAAAGCTGCTGCAGCTCCAGCGTGTCGCCGATCACCCTGCGATGCGAGGGGGGGATGACGCGCCCTCGAGGGAGCCGGCCCTGGGGAGGGGAGAAGCCGGCCCTGAGGACAAGAGCGTCCTGTTTTATAACTCGCGATGGCACCCGTCGCCGGCCCGCCATCACCATCATCATCATCATCATCATCATCATCATCATCATCATCAGCATCATCATCATCACCATCACCATCACCATCACCATCACCACCACCACCACCACCACCACCATCAATATCATCATCATCATCATCATCATCATCATCATCATCATCATCATCATCATCATCATCATCATCATCATCATCATCATAACCAGCACCATCATCATCATCATCATCATCATCATCATCATCATCACCAGCACCATCATCATCATCATCATCATCATCACCATCATCATCATTATCATCATCATCATCATCATCATCATCATTATCGACACCATCATCACCAGCACCATCATCATCATCATCATCATCATCATCATCGTCATCATCATCATCATCATCATAAATGTCATCATCATCATCACCATCATCACCATCTTCATCATCATCACCATCGGCTCATTGTCATCAAAATCATCATCCTTACCATCAGCATCAACATCGTCATCATCATCAACAACATCGTCATCGTCACCGTCATCGTCATCGTCATTACCATCGTACTAACCAGTTCCACCACCACCATCATCATCTTATAATCATCACCATCATCATAATCTAGACCATCGTCATAATCACCAGAATCATCACCATCACGGTCACCACCACCGTCATCACCATCATCACCATCATCATCATCATCATCATCAACAACATGATCGCCATCATCACCGTCACCGCCATCATCGTCGTCATCATCACAAATCCGCATCATCACTATGACCATCGTCAGGAGCATCGTCATGACAAACACCGTCATCGTCACCAGTGTCCTCAAACGCATCATCGCCATTATCACCGTCACGATGGTCATCACCATCATGATCATCAGCACCAGCATCGCCATCACAATCATCATCACTACCAAAACCCCTCAATATAATCATCATCAACATCATCATCAGCATCATCATCAGCATCACCATCATCATCAGCATCATCATCATCCTCCTCATCATCGTCATCAACAGCATCATCACCATCACCATCACCGCCATCATCAGGTGACCAGGGCCAGCAGGAGATCACAATCGGGAGGTGGGCATCGTGGCGCGCCGAAGCGCGGTGGTCCACAAGTGGCGGAGCGACACGCTGCGCAAGCGCCCCCGACCACCAGCGAAGGGCCGCCCCCCCACTGCAGTGAGGAGGAGGAGGAGGAGGAGGAGGAGGAGGAGGAGGAGGAGGAGGAGGAGGAGGAGGGAGGAGGAGGAGGAGGAGGAGGAGGAGGAGGAGGAGGACCTGGCAACCTATCCGCGGGCCGCCCGACGCCACCCTCCGAGCGCGGCCTCCTCTGCGACGACCCTGCGGAGCACCGCGGCGCCCGCCGCCTGGCACTGAGAGGCGCCCGTGTGCGGCCACCGGCGGGCGGGCTCGCTGGGCAGTGTCTGATTTTCCGCCATTTGCGGGCGGCGGGAGAACCTCCAGCGAAAGGGCTTTCTCCTCATGCCTCCTCCTGCTGCCTCCTCCTGCTACCTCCTCCTCCTCCTCCTGCTCCTCCCCCTCCTCTTGCTCCTCGACCCCCCCCCCCTCCCACCTCCTCCTGCCTCTCCCCCTCCCCCTTTTCCTCGCCCTCATCCTCTTCATCCTCCTCTTCCCGAAAGGGGTATCTCCGCCCGTTGGGGAGATTGCCCGGAAGAGGGAACTTCCACGCGTTGCGACGAGGGTGGTCCCTCCTCTTCCCTCTCCTGCTTCCTCAACCTCCTGATTCTCCTCCATCCTCAAATATTCTCCCTTCCGCCTTGCCGTCGTCCTCCTCCTCCTCCTCCTCCTCCTCCTCCTCCTCCACTCTCTTCCTCCTCCTCCTCTCCTCCTTCCTCCTCGTCTCCTCCTCCTCCTCGTCCTCATCCTCCTCCTCCTCCTCCTCCTCCTCCTCCTCCGTCTCATCCTCCTCCTCCTCCTCCTCCTCCGCCTCCTCCTCCTCCTCCTCTTGTTTCTCCTTCCCCTCCTCGTCCCAATCCCCTGCTGCTTCTGCTCATTCTCCTCCTCCACTCTTCCCTCTCCTCCTCGTTCCCCCGATGGTCACCCTTTTCATCCGCACCCTCCCTTCTCACTCTTCCCACTCCCTTTTCACTCCTCCGCTCTGCGGTTGATCGGGAATTTCGATGTATAGAAGAAGGGGCGTGCGCTTGTGGGCGAGAGGAGAATGAGTGGGAGGCGGTGGTACCCAGCCCTTGGAATTCATCGCCAGATTTCAAGAGCTTCCCGGAAATTGAACAGAAAGCATCTGAGGACCTCCTTGGGGAGGCTCGGGGGGCCGGTGTCTGAGGATGTCCCGCACGACGGTGCTGGTTTAGAATTCGTCGCCCGATTTCTTGGATTTCCGAGAAACGGGGACCTCCTTGGGGAGGCTCGGAGGGGGCGATTTTCTGAGGATGTCCCACGCGAGGGCGCCGGTTGGGAATTCGTTGTCGGATTTCCCGGATTTCCCAAAAACGAGCGCCTCCTTGAAGAGGCTCGGGGGGCTGGTTTCTGAGGATGCCCCACACGAGGGCCCTGGTTGGGAATTCGTCGCGGATTTTCTGGACTTCCTGGATTTACCGGAAAAGGAACAGGGGGGGCGGTTGGCGGGCCCATTCCCTCGCGCGCTCAGGGTTAGGATGACGTGAATTCTCAAGACAAGCTCCCTCAAATCAATATTTCCTCTCTGTCACATCCCAAGACGTGTCGGTTGCGCGGGCCGAGCGTTTCGCCCAAGACTTCCTCGCCACTTGCGGTCCTGAAGCTCGAAATGTGCAACAGCTTCAACTGTTAAGCTTCAACATGTTCGTCTTTAACGTTTGCAACAGGTTCGAGGATGGAGCAAAGGTGCTTTCAAACATGTGGCTCTCGTTTCAGAGTGGTGCACATTCGTGCTAAAAGTTTGCGGCAGCTTCGAAGATGGCGCAATACCTTGTTTCGAAATGCGGCTCTCGCCTCAACGCCTCGCGCGTTCGTCCTCATTGTTTGCAGCAGACTCGAGGACGGAGGGCGGACCCTTGTCAAAATGTGGTTCTCGCCTTCGCGGTGCGTACATTATTCTCCAAACCTTCGAACAGCTACAAGGATGTAGCACAGGCTGGTTTCAAAATAGGGCTCCCGCCTGAGCGCCGCACACATTCGTCTTAAAAGTGTGCACCACCTTCAAGGATGGAACACAGGTCGTTTTCAAAATGTTGCTCTCGCTTCGGCGATCCGCGCATTCGTCTTAATCGATTGCAACACGTTCAGGGGATGGAAGGCGGCTTCTTTTCGAACTGATTACTCCGCATTGGCGCTGCGCACATTCGCCTCAAAATCTTGCAACAACTACGAGGATTCAGCAGAGGCCATTTTCAGCATAAGGGTCCCGCCTCAGTGCCTCGCACATTAGCATTTTCAGCGCAAGGCTTGTAAGGGACGGAACACCATTCTTTTAAAAAGCAAGGGCCGTCGCTTCAGATTTCGCTACGTTGGAGGACCCGAAAACTCAACACATGGATCCAGGGCGGCCTTTTTTCAAAATCGAGCTCTCGCTTGACACTTCTTCGAAGTTGATGGCCACACGTGTAAATTTCGGCAACAGTTGCACGAATGCAGGGCGGCCTTTTTTTGAAAAGGGGCCATGCGGGGCCTCGCTGGACACCTCGTTGAGCTGTACGATTACAGGTAATGCTTTGCGTTCCCGAGTCGGCACTCGCGGGGCCATCGCCTTTCAAGGTGGGAGGAGTTTTTTTTTTGGAGTCGAAAGAACACTGCGCAGAGACGTGCGAGGAGGAAACTTGGAACGAAAGGGTTCCTTCTCTCCCTGGGCGGTGGAGGATGAGGAGGATCACGAATCCCCGGGAGAGATCCGTACAGCTTACAGCTCGAGGCGCGCGCGGCGCGCAGCACACACGGCAGTGTGCAGCACGGCTTGCGGCCGCCCGCCACTCAGGAAATGGTCCTTCATAGCATGGAAGATCTTGTGAGCAGCTGCCACCCGGAGGAGGGCGATAGTCGAATCCAGCCCCAACCGGTCGCGTGTCGAAGAGTGGAGGATGAGGAGGATGAGGATGAGGAAGGACGACCCTTGCCCCCTCCCAGGAGACAGCACGCGTGCCCCCCTCGGGAGCACCCGCCTTACGCGCGTGCCGGCGCGCAGAGACTTCCACTCCGTCAGGCGCTCCGTCACGGCCGAGCTGATGGCAAACCGCATGGCGTTGCCGACCTCTCGGCGGCTGGAGCTGTGGCGGAGGGAGGGGGAGGAGCAGGGGGGCGAGGGAGGAAGGAAAAAGGAGGGCTCTAGGGGGCTCTCGGGATTCTGGGGGGGGGGTCTTCGGGAGATCCTGACATCTTCCCGGCGTGAGAAGACCAACGACGGGAGGTCCGCGGCAATTCTCAACGTCTGCGGGCCCTTAATGGGCCGCGAGACCTTATCAAAAACAGGATGGAGCCGATCCCTGGAAAAGGGTCCAGACGTCTGGGAAACCACGTTGTGAAAACACACGGCGTGGGACGTCCGGTGAGGGAGGAGGGGCGAGGGGGAGGAACGGCTGCAGCAGGAGGAGGCGGATGAGCCTTCCGGCCTCGAGCATCCATCTCTTGGTCTCCTCGTCCTCGGCTGCGGCGTCGCTGCAAATCCGCAGCCCCTCGGGGGGGGGAGCGAGAGAGAGAGGAAGAGAGAGAGAGAGAGAGGCAGGGGCATCAAGCGATTGAGCGCGAGGCTGACGCCTTCGGGGTGAAGCAGCGACTGCTTAACAAACGCACGAATTGATAGCTCGGCTTGGGTTGAACGCTTGCTTCTCGAGTAGGGGATCGACTACAGAATTCATTTGCCCCAAAGTTGACTTTCTGGCCGAATCTATAAAACACACATACAGTGCGTGTGTATACGTTCAGACTATGCATATTTCATGGATCCGACGAGAACAGACAATTTTGGGGCAGATCAACTCCGCAGTCGATCATCCTCTGGAGCTCCGAGGTTGTCGGTGCAGCACACGTCTGGCCTCCATGAGCCGATTCGGGGCCCCGGTGAAGGGGGGGGGGGGCGACGGGGGGGCACTGGCTCAGTAGTCCTCATCATTCCACCGCCCCTTCGTCCACCCCGTACCAATACGGCCGAGCGTGCCAGCAAGAAAATCATCATGTAAGTAACCCTGGGCCAACACCTGTTGCTCACCCTGGAGGGCGAACGTGGTCAGTAAACTGAGCCAGGTTTCCGGCAGAGCGCCCGCCTGGAACCTGCGCCACCGTGCCGGTGAGCCAGCGACGGGCCCCCGACGGCGAGGTCCGCGGGACGCTCCTCCTCCTCCTGCTCCTCCTCCTCCCCTTCCTCCTCCTCCTCCTCCTCCTCCTCCTCCTCCTCCTCCTCCTCCTCCTCCTCCTCCTCCTCCTCCTCCTCCTCCTCCAGCGACGGGCCCCCGACGGCGAGGTCCGCGGGACGCTGGGCAGGGTGGGGCCCCCGTGCCCACGCCGGCAGTGCACGACGGGCAGTGGTCGGGCTGCGCGCGAGGGGTGGCGCGGGGTGGGGGCCACCTCGGGTGCGCGGCTCGCCGATCGTGGCGCGCAGCATCGGCCTGTGCGCCTGGGCCTGCTCCCCCCCCCCCCCCCCCCCCCGCGCCCGTGGAGACGCGCTGCAGGGGAAAGAGGGGGCCACGAGATCTGGGCGACATCCATCCTCCTCCTCCTCCTCCTCCTTCCTCCTCCTCCTCCTCCTCCTCCTCCTCCTCCTCCTCCTCCTCCTCCTCCTCCTCCTCCTCCCCTCCTCCTCCCCCTCCTCCTCCTCCTCCTCCTCCTCCTCCTCCTCCTCCTCCTCCTCCTCCTCCTCCTCCTGGACACGCGCTGCAAGGGAAAGAGGGAAAGAGGGGGCCCTGAGCCTGGCCATGATGCCCCTCCAATCCCCACCTCCCCGCCGCCTTCAAAAAAGGTTCTTACGGAGCAGGCCAGGTCTATCCTCCCTGCAGGTAGCGAGCGCCTCGGGAGCCAAGCTGGGATTGAGCCTGCTGAGCCGCTGATTGCGGCGAAAGCGAGCACCAGCCAAGAGAAGCAGAGAACCTGGAACAGATCCCAGCAACACACCCGAATAACAGCAAATGTGAAGAGAGACGTGTCGAGGAGTAGGAGGTGGGAGCACGGCCATGTGCACTGTAGTGTTTTGTTGGAAGGGATCGTGGCCGTCTGGACCAAGTAGCTGGCATTGAGGCGAGAACAGGGCTACTGAATTAGTCGCGAGGAGAATTCTCGGGCGAAACTGCACCTGGGCCATACGGTCTAGAGCGGCGATCTCGAGCTCCCCGCCCCCCATGTGGGCCTCCTCGATGGTCCTTTTGTACCACTATGGAAGTATTGTAGCGAAAAGCTTTTAGGGAGACAATGGGTTGGACGCGACATACGGTCGGGAACTCTTACTTAGCGTGTCGCAGCGGCAGCCCCCGCGACACGCCATGCCTTGCAAGTGATAGCGTGTCGCTCCGCGGGGCAGGAGGAAAACTGGGGACCAGGAAGTAGATAGCGGGTCGCGCCGAAGGGTGATGGGCCAGAAATGGCGGAGCGACACGCTATCCAAAAGTTCCTGACCAGGGCACAGGAAACACTGCATAAGCATAAACTTTTGAAGGTACGCGCGGAATCCTTGGATCTGCGCTGAACCCCCTCCCTGGCGCGCGGAGCGCGCCAGAGGCGGCGCCAGAGGCGCCGCAAGGGGGCCCAGCGCGGATCCAAGAAATCCGCGCGGAACTCCCAAAGTGAATGTTCATGCAGCTTGTTTCTTCGACGACCGTACAGGCGAGGTACCACCAGCAGGAACGCCACATAAGGAGCGGAAGTGCTTCTCCGGCCAGGGCGCGCCTCGGCCACGAACAGGCTGCTCGACCTGGGCCCAAGGAGCGGCCCTGAAACTGGAGCCCCTCTCAGGAGCGGCCCTAAAACTAGGCCCTCGACCTAGGCCTAAGGAGCGGCCCTACTCGACCTAGGCCTAAGGAGCGGCCCAAGGTGGTCCTGAGTTCCGCGCCGCGACCGTGGGCTCTCCGGGCCTGCGCCATCCAGTCGATGACCCGGGACTGGATCGGGAAGTCCGCGGGGCCGCGGAGGCCCGCGGCTCGCTCCAGGTCCCTGCGGGCACCTGCGGGCGCCTCCGCCCTCGTCCTCATCGCTCCAGCCTTCGTCGCCGTCGCCTCGGCGGCGCACCCGGGGGAGAAGTGAAGGCCGGACGGCCTTCAGACGGCCTCGCCAAGCGCCCGAGCCCAACCCGGAGCCCGAGCATGTGCCCAGGCACGGGCCCAAGTCCGAGCCCTGGCCCAGGCCCCAGCCTGGTCCCGTGTCCGAGCCCGGCTCTCAGAGCCCAAGCCCGAGCCTACGCCCGAACCGAAACCCGAGCCCGAGCCCTGAGCCGATGGCAGGCTTTCTCAACGGCGGCGGGAGGCCGTCTGAGGCTTCTGAGAAGGCCCACCCCTGCCTGCCTTCCTCACGGGGCGCGCCGCCGAACCGTCGGATTTGGGAAGGAGGAGGAGGACCAGATGGAAGAGAAGGGGTGAGGAGGGAGGAGTGAGGAGCGCCAGGAACCGCGGAGCCCGCCGCCCTACTCGTGGCTCGCCCCCCCCCCCCCCCACACAACACTTCCTTCGCGCGGCCCAGCGCCTCGGTCTCCCCCATGCGCGCCGACTCCCGCACTGAATCATACTTCACCAGCCAGTCGCACGATGAACATTCGGAAGTAGGTTACGTACCCGATTTACAAGGGTGCCGCACCTGGGGCACAGCCGAGCTAAAGCGGGCAGTCATGGGCATCACGAGCTGTAGGCGATGGCACCACGACGGACCGACTATAGCGGCATCTTGAAATTGCATGCAAGACCGTCCAGCACGGACCGTCCAAAAAGTCAACTGCTGGACTTCGGGACCATGCGCAGGGTTAGACATGCCGACAAAACAAAACAAACAACAAAATTAGTCGCGCCAGCTGCAGCCTCCCAATTGGGACCAAGGACTGGCCACAAAGATGAAAACACTGAGGGGCCAGCAGGTGGGAGACAGAGACCACTAGTTACCTCCAAATGCTGTTGGCAGGCGGTTGGCCGCAGCTGCTCGGCGCCAGTCGCAACTGCCGCTACCTTATGGCATAGTGGGCCGTTGATCACAATCCCACTCTGCACAGACCGCACACCTGCTGAGGCCAGCCCGAAGCCACAGCGTACAGGGTAAAGCCTTGGGGGGTTATCAGCAGGGTCCTATCTCTGTTCGCTGACCGCTACGACAGCGTGCAAGGTCGCCACCCGATAAGCTAATGCTGGTTTGCGCAAAAACGACTACGGAGGAAAGAGAAGGGAGGAGGAGGAGGAGGAGGAGGAGGAGGAGGAGGAGGAGGAGGAGGAGAGGGAGGGAGGAGGAGGAGGGTGGAGGAACGGAGGGAGGGAGGAGGAGGAGAGGAGGAGGAGGAGGAGGAGGAGGAGAGGAGGAGAGGAGGGGGAGGAGGGAGGAGGAGGAAAGGGAGGAGGAAAAGGGAGGAAGAGAAGGGAGGAAGAGGAGGAGGAGGAGGAAGAGGAGGAGAAAGGCCGGGAAGGTGAGGCGGAGGAGGCTTCCGGCATCGTCGGCCCTCGATCTTCTTCTGCACGATCGAGGACTCAACGTTTTGAAGGCAGCGGGGGCCTCCAGGAGCGCCAGGGGCTCGTCCCAGCGGCACCCCCTTGGAGGGGCACCAGATCTCGACGCAGCGCAACAAAGGACCACGCGACACGCGAGGACATCATAAGCCTGAGGACGGAGGTGGAGCAGCAGCAGCCCCAGGATCTTCTCCTCCTTCTCATCCTACTCCGTGTCACGATCCTTTTCTTTATACCTCATATGCCCCTCTCTCTTCGCCGACTTCCCCTTCTCCTCCTTCATCTCTACTTTCCCCTTCTTCTCCCTCCGTCCTCCCCCGCCCCCTCCCTCCATCCTCCTCCTCCTCCTTCTCATCCCTCCCTCCCTCCCTCCCTCCCAGCCTCCCTCCTCCTCCTCCTCCTCCTTTTCCTCCTTTTCCTCCCTTGTCCTTCCTCCTCCTCCTCCTCCGCCTCCTCCTCCTCCTCCATCCTCCTCCTCCTCCTCTCCTCCTCCTCCTCCTCTCCTCCTCCTCCCATCCCTTATCCTTCATCTCATCCTCCATCCTCCATCCTCCTCTATCCTCCATCCTCCTCCTCCTCCTCCTCCTCCTCCTCCTCCTCCTCCTCCTCCTCATCTCTCTCGTTCCCACTCCCTCCTCCACCCCCTCCACGCCCTTCATCCCCCTCCATAGTGCCCGCCGAGCGGACGCCGAACCCAGTCTCAAGCCAGGTGTGTGCCTGCACGCGCACGACCTTACAATGCGGAGTTGGAACTCTCGTCAAGGACGGTGCGGAGGATCTCCCCCAATCTCACGGTGGGGGGGCTGACAGCCACTGTCCCAGAAGGGTACCATATGCTATGCTTGCCACTTGGTCCTCCCACTGGGCTTTGGTACCTACAGGCCAATCGACTGCTAAGCCGTCCACATCCTCGTCCTCATTCCTCCTTTCAGTCCCTCCGCCATCCCCTCCATCCTCCGCCACTGTCCATCTGATACCCTCTTGGAAGAAGGCCGTCGTTGCCGACAGCGCCGCCGGCGTCGCAACCGTAACAGCAAAGGGTCAACAAACCGATCCCGCCCTGGGTTACGCAGTATAGTGAGGATAATGAGAAGCCTCTTGCCCGGACTCCAGGCAAGAGGCTTCATCGTCAAGAGGCTCCGGGCAAGAGGCAAGAGACTATAGGGCGGAGTCCTCTCGACGTCATCGTCGACGTCGTCGTCGTCGGCGGCGGCGTCGCCGTCGAGTCCCTTCCCCCCCCCCCAATCCCGCGCGGCGCCCTCGGGGTCCGGGCCCGGGGCGGAGCTCCGCGTCGCGAGCATCTGGGCCCGCGCAAAGAAGAAGCGCGCCGCCGCGTCGTCATCCACCACCCCCGCGTCCAGCAGGTCCTCGGGCGGGTCCTCCATCCTCCCTCCCCCTCTTTCCTCCAACGTCGCTCCTCACTCCTCCGTCGTCCCTCACCCACCTCCCAACTTCCCCTCTTCATCATCATCTTCCTACCCCATCCGTTCCCCTTGCGAACAACTCCTCCCCGTCGCACCCCATGACGTGTTGGTAGGGCAGGCCAGGCGTTGCGCCTGCGACTTCCCCACCAAGTATGATCCTGAAGCTTAGAACTTGCAAGAGCTTCACGGATGGAAGGCGGGCCTTTTTCAAAAGGTGGAACAGATTGCAAGAGCTTCACTGATGGAGGGCGGGTCGTTTTCAACATGTGGCTCTCGCCTTAGCGCAGCGCGAGAGCTTGACGGATGAAGAGCGGGTCGTTTTCAGGAGGGGGTTCTCGCCTTCGCGCCGCGCAAACTCGCTTTTAACGTTCGCAAGAGTTATAAGGGTAGAGGGCGGTTCCTTTTCAAAATGTGACTCTCGCCGTAGCGGCGCGCGCATTCGTCTTAAAAGGTCAAAGCAAGTTCGAGGACTCTTGTGGTTGACGACCCAGGGATGGTGTTCTGGCACGGCTTCGGATTGTCAGCGCGCGACAGTCAAATTGATTCGCGGTGTCGTGATCCCATGAATGGCGTTCTGATGCGACTTAGGACCGTGAGGACGCAACAAGAATACGAACTCGCGGCGTCGAACTCCCAGGAGTTGTCTTGGCACGATTGAGAATTCTCAAACGAGTGTCTTCCAACGGGGCACTTCCAGCAGTAAACATGACCCTGGACATATCCAACCCTTTCTCCACGCGAGGCGAATAGTCGTATGATCGCTACAAACAGAACAACACATCGCCAGATATGCACGATCTGCGCTGCCCTCATCTCCGCCGTGCCTCCCCGGAGCGAAACTGCAGACAATTGCGCAGTTCATCGCCTCTCAAGGAGCAGCGAGGTCTCGGCTGGATCCACCCAGGAGCCCACGACAATGGCGACAATTGCCAGTTCGCAGCGTACCAGGGGGCAGCAAGGTCTCGGCTGGATCTGCGTGGCCCCCGACTCCGCTGGACCTCCTCGGAGCCCACGAAAGTGCAGACAGCTGCGCAGAGTTCGCAATCTACCAGGGAGCAGCGAGGTCTCGTCTGGGTACGCGTGGCCAACGATCCCGCTGCATCTCCCAGGAGCCCACGAAAGTGCAGACAGCTGCGCAGTTCGCAACATACCAGGGAGCAGCGAGGTCTCCGCTGGATCCGCGTGACCCCCGACTCCGCTGGACCTCCCAGGAGCCCACGACAGTGGTGACGGCCGCACAGTTCGCAGCCACCACAGGGGCAGCGATGTCTCGTCTGGGTGCGCGTGGCCCCCGACTCCGCTGCACCTCCCAGGAGCCCACGAAGGTGCAGACAGCTGCGAAGTTCGCAGCCACCGCCGCTGGACCTCCCGGGAACCCACAACAGTGGCGACAGTTGCCAACTCGCAGCATACCAGGGAGCAGCGAGGCCGCGGCTGCATCCGCTCTGCCCCCGACTCCACTGGACCTCCTCGGAGCCCACGAAAGTGCAGACAGCCGCGCTGTCCGTAGCCTCCCAGGGAGCAGCGAATTCTCATATGGGTGCGCGTGGCCCCCGACTCCGCTGAACGTCCTCGGAGACCACGGAATTGGTAACGGTTGCGTAGTTCGCAGCCACCCTGGGAGCAGCGATGTCTCGTCTGGGTACGCGTGGCTCTCGACTCCGATGGACCTCCCAGGAGCCCACGAAGTGGTTGCAGTTGCGGAGTTCGCAGCCACCGTGGAAGCAACGAGGTCTCAAATGGATGCGCGTGGCTCCCGACTCACCTGGACCTCCCAGGAGTCCCTGAAAGTGGTGAGATTTGCGCAGTTCGCAGCCAATCCTGGTTGGATCCCTCCTCGTCAACTTCTTATCAACATTGCCCGCGGTATAAACTCTCCTCAGCTGCGTCCCTCGCTCATCTCTTTTGCGTGGTTGCTTCTCTCTCTCTCTCTCGTTCATTTGTTTTTTCTCTCTCCCTCTCTCTCTCTCTCTATATGAACAACTATGTATATATCATGTATTTTTTTTGTTAAGCGCTCTCTCTCTCTCTCGTTCTCTCTCATCTCTCTCTCTCTCTCTCTCTCTCTCTCTCCCTCTCCCCGTCGCTCCCCGTCTCGACCTGACGAAGGGTTAGCTGTTTCTCCTCTGTCATCCTCTCCACTCCTCCCGTGCCGATCCCCCTCCTCAGGAGAGGGACGTTTCAACGGGTAGAAATGCTCACGTGGGTTGCGTGGGCCGCCTTGGTTGGGAAAGGGCCCTGGGTACTGCGGGCTTTCCCCCTCCTCCTCCTCCTCGTCCTCCTCCTCCTCTTCTTCCCCCTCCTCCTCCTCCTCATCCAGCCCATCCGAAAAGTTGTCCCCCTCCTCCTCCTGTCCTTTTCCCCGTCCTCCTCCAGAAACCGTTCAGGACCCGATGAATCCCCTGACGTTCTCTCCAATTCGCCGAGAAACCTCCGACCCCCCTGTGAATATCAGCCCGCTCGATTCTCTTGGTGTTGCTCTCCCTCATCCTGCTCCCGTTTTTTTCTGGCTCCTCCTCCTCCTCCTCCTCCTCCTCCTCCTCCTCCTCCCTCCTCCTCCTCCTCCTCCCCCCCCCCCTCCTCCATTGTCCTTCTCCTCCTCTCCTCACTCCTTCCTCTCTCACTCTCCTCCTCCTCCTCCTCCTCCTCCTCCTCCACCTCCTCCTCCTCCTCCTCCTCTCCTCGTCCTCCTTCTCCTCCCTCCTCCTCCTCCGCCTCCTCCTCCTCCTGCCTCCTCCTCCTCCTCTTCCTCCTCCTCTCCTTTTCCTCCTTCTCTTGCTCTTCCTCCTCACCTCCTCCTCCCTCCCCCCTCTCCTCGCCCTCTCCCTCCCTCCCTCCCTCCGTCCCTCCCTCCCTCCCTGCTCCCTCCCTCCCTCCAACCTCCTCCTCCACTGCATCCTCCGCCTCCTCCTCCTCCTCCTCCTCCTCCTCCTCCTCCTACATCGTCGTCCTCCTCCTCCTCCTCCGCCTCCTCCTCCTCCTCCTCCTCTTCCTCCTCCTCCATCTTCCCCGTCACTCATCATTCGTCGTCTGCGTGTCGCTGATGCTGTTCCCCTTCCTCTTCATCCCCCCTCCTCCGGCTCATCCTCCTCTTCCTCCTGCTGCTCTTTTCCTCCTCGTCTACTCCTCCTCCTCCTCCTCCTCCTCCTCCTCCTCCTCCTCCTCCCTCCCTCCTCCATTGTCCTCCTCCTTCCTCGTCATCCTCCTCACTCCTCCTCTCCTCCTCCTCCTCCTCCTCCTCCTCCTCCTCCTCCTCCTCCTCTCCTCATCCTCCACCTCCTCCTCCACATCCTCCTCCACATCTCCTCCTCCTCCTCCTCCTCTCCTCCTCCCTTCTCCTCCTCGTCCTCGTCCTCCTTCTCCACTTCCTCCTCCTCCTCCTTCGCCTCTCCCTCCTGCCTCCTCCTCCTCCTCTTCCTCCTCCTCTCCTTTTCCTCCTTCTCTTGCTCTTCCTCCTCCACCTCCTTCTCCTCCTCCCTCCCCCTCTCCCTCCCCCTCTCCCTCCCTCCCTCCGTCCCTCCCTCCCTCCTGCCTCCCTCCCTCCCTCCAACCTCCTCCTCCACATGCCTCTCCTCCTCCTCCTCCTCCTCCTCCTCCTCCTCCTCCTCCTCCTCCTCCTCCTCTTCCTCCTCCTCTTCCTACATCGAAGCACCCCGGCCCAGACGGGGGGGCGCCTCATTCTGATAACGCAGCCTTCCCTACCCCCCCACCACACTTCCCTTTTTCTTGACGGTGCTAGCTGCACCACATATCGAATGGACATTCTCATGGGACTCTCCCTTTGAGCCTAATGTATTGAGGATCGCGGCTGGCCGCCAGGAGCCAGTCAAGCATCATGAATGGCATCTCGGTGATGCAGTACAACCCGATGTCAGCGTCAGCACATGATAGGCTGGTGGACATTGCAGAGGTTACATCCAAGTTCGACTTCGTTTGTCTCACAAGGACGGGTGCAAGGAGATACGGAAGGGATGACATTGTTTGGAGGAGAGCGGGGAGGAGGTGGATACTGGAAGCAGGCTGGGCAAGGGCAGCGGGCAGCAATCGTAGTTGTGGATGCAGTATTATGCTTGGCCCACGCATCCCCAAAAGATCGATTACGCATACCTGGGCATCTCCAGCTCACATAGCTGGCAGAGGCATTGCCATCCGAGCACGCAATAGCCAATTCGACATCGGGGTAGTATGCGTGTATTTCCCTCCTCCCCCTTCAAGAGCCTCCGAATTTCCAGCGTATGTAAAAACCTGCGAAGCTCCGGTCAATTGGATGAGGGGCCTCCCTATCTTCGGAATTTCACGGTGCTTCCCCATAGTGGCCATGGACCTGAATTCAGCTTTTGGGCAGCAGCGTCTGAGTGGAAGCGAGGATTGGACGCCAGTGCAGGATGAGCGCCTAGGGCATTCACACTGGTTGGGTCGTCAGCGCCACTCAGCGGACGTGCTACTACCTTTCCTGCAGATGCTCGATTTAGTCCCGATTAATCTGCACATTGGCGTTGGACCTACGTATGTAGGACCGTCTGGTGGCACATCGCTGATAGATTACGTATGCATCCCTCGATGTTCGCTCCCACAGATCACCTCGGCAGGACCACTCAGAAGTCTAGCCAGGAAGTTGCAGTTAATCAGACATCGCGACCATCGCGACCATCTTCCGCTGCATGCCCGATTTCAATATACTATTCAGGCCACAACAGGAGGAGAAGCACTAGGACTACAACCTAACCTTCGTCTTGGATTTGCCCCTCGGTATGTAAGGTGGAATAAGGAGGCACTGATGGACAGCTTGAGGAGTGGAGTGGGGAGGGCTGAGTTCTTGCAGGAGCTTGAATCAACATTGCAGGAGGAGCAGGAGCATTGGCAGCGAATCAGGAGGGAGGAGCAGACACCTAACGCAGAGTGGGGCTATTTCATCAACCTACTCAGCAAGGTCGGGGAAAAGTTTTTTGCGCAGA